GCTGCTGCTATCTTGCTGCTTTACAGGGATGCCCTTACCTGCCAGAGAAAGGACAAACAGTGGCTTCATCCCCTTTCAAACCTGTCTGTGCTGTACGTACAAGGGAGTTTGCATATGCCTTCTAAGATCTGGCCTCTATCGCCACGGTTTGGGCACTACAAGGAGAACCACAGAGCTTTTGTCTCCTTTCAGCTGCACCTTCCTGGGGGAAAAATACCCTCATTTCTGTTATTTGTCTTACAGCTGCCACGCACCACCGAGGCATAACCAGAGCTGCATCCCCTCCATGCACGTGGTGGTGTGGCTGTGGGGTGCGAGAGATGCTCACGCATTGCTCCTCTGCACCTCAGTCCCTGCCAAGGTGTATTTTTCTTTTAACTGCCTGGCTGGATTCACAGCAACCACAAGTTAAAAAATCTCCATGTATCTGAAGCTGTCTTCCTCTTCCCAGAGAGGCAGCATTTCTCCATATCAAGGGTCATATCAAGTCTTGTACCAATGTGTTTACTCCTCAGGAGAATCAGTGTTTGCTATGAGACAGTCTAGAGAAAACACTCCTTAAGTATGCGCCCTGTTCTTGATTTAATTTGGAGGAACCTCAGTTACTGAGTCCTTACTTTTATATATGCTCCTGCTCTTCATTGTTTTGCAGACGATTTTAGCATCAAATGGACCTTGTTCGTTCTTCCTCTCAGAAGAAAAAGCACATGGGTGAATATTCAAAACTCAAGATAATAATTTGGGGGTTTTTTTTAGTAGGCGGAGGAGCCGTGGTAAAGAAAGTCCCTATCAATGCTTGAAATTGAAACTTAGAGATCCAGTGAAAAACTTCTATCTTCTTAAACTACACAGGGTGAAGGGCACATACCTGGTCAGTGACTTACAATTTATTATTAATTGGCACTGCTCACCAAAAAAACACTCACCAAAGTCTGGGCAGGGCTTGGGGGATTGGGGATTTAAGAGAGATGTTTCCCAGTGCAGAGTATGGATATGGTCACCTCGTTTTGGGTAATGGAGCTCAGTTTTACATGCCACTTGTGCATTGGGCCAGTAAATGGCCACTAGCCTGAAGTTATTTATAGCTGGATCCTGTGACTGAAGATGGCCAGAATACTTGTTTAAAATTGAGGAATGGCATCCTGTTCCAGGGCACGCTGTTACATATCCTGGCACCTTCCAGCCACTGGACCCACCTAAAGACAAAAAAAAAAAAAAAAAAAAGGCTAGAAACAGAACATTTATAAATGACTCCTTTGACCGTCACATGCAAAACACACACTAGTGCTGGGTGAAGTGCTATCCTAACCCTTCTGTGGGTGTGATGGCTTTCATAGCTCATTCATAACACACAGCATCTTGAAACTCACTGATAAAACCATAATAGCACACCCCACAGTATACATAACTATGTCATATTAATAAATATTTGTAGAGTGCCATGGCTTGGCACAGTGATTTAGAGAATTTTTTTTTTAAATAAAGGAGCATGGCCCCCTGCTCCAGGAAAGTTTATACTCAGGTCCTGGTACTGCATATGTTTAATGTTATCCTGAGTCACCCATGGAGGGTCTTCTCCTCTTGAGGGGGAGATGGAAGAAGAAGAGAGAGTGGGGAGACACATGCATTAAGATAAATGATAAATGACGCTACTGAAGGCAGCATGGGTGGGCCTGGGGCATTAGTAACAGAATATGTCCTTTTTTTGCACCTACGTGGTTGGTTGACATCCAGTTGAGTTCCTCAGCACCTGAGCATTATCCCTCTCTCAACAGCAGTGTTATGGTTTGCGTAGCACAAGCCTGGTGAGGTCTGCAGCAGCATTAGGACCTTTGCCAGGGGTTGCAGGACTCACTGCCTCTTGCTTCGGAGTTCCGTTTGAAGACTGATGTCTCAACTTTGTAGGCACTCCTGGTAAATCCTACAAGGACTTGCTGGCAGATTTGGGGAGGATTTAAAGTTTTGGAGGTTACCACACCTGCTGCAACAGATGACGACAAAGACTTATTTTCCAACCCGGTAACTTTCTGACATGTTGAAAAATTTCTTTATATCACCCCAAAAGTATTTCTAAAGATTAACAAGAAGGTGATTTTCCAAACATTTCTTTAAGTCGAATAATTAGGTCAATTAGGAAATACAATCCAGAAAATACCGTCCAACTGCCTCCACTTCTGATAATGGATGGATACATCCATACCCTATGTAAAGACTGTACCTTTGCAGGCTGCAATGCCAAAGAGAGTTGTTTTCTCAACAAATGCTTGCTTCTCATGGAGCTTACATGCTTTTAGAAGGTCCTAGTTCTGGTTTATTTACTGCCACACTGGTGTGGCCATTTCTCATTTATGAAAACCATGTGGAACATGGTGAATCAAGTTGTCTTCTGCTGATGAAAATGGCAATAGCTTAGACCCACAGAAGCAGTAGGAAAGCTAATGATTGCTGAACTTTGAAATTTAGGCCCCTGATTCAGCACTCAGGTCCCATGAAATAAAACTCCATGTGCACACTGAGACAGCTCCCCACTTCCAAGTGCCCAAAAAACATCCGTGCTTTGCAAACAGACGCACACCTCAACGTGTGCGTGAGGAGCAGGAGTGAAAGACCTGCCACACTTCACCAACGGACGTCCCCGATTCAGCAGAGCACTTAGAGCCCAATGGGTCACATAGCAATTAAGAGAATTTAAACATGTGCTGAAATATTTTGGCACATCAGGGCCTGGAGGCTTGTCTATGTGTGAAATTGCCTCAGATTAAATGCTTGGAGTGGTTTAAAGTTCCTAAAGCTCTTCCTGAGTAAGTCCCTATATGCATATCGTTAATCCAGAGTGTATTTATCCTATATCCTTTATGTATACGTCCTTTTTCACTAGCCTTCTAGTTTCTTACTCTTTATCCCACCTTTTGATTTCTGTCTTCTCTGTCCTTCTGTCCTGACAAACACCATGGGCAAGCGGCTCTCATAAACACTGCAAAGAGTAGATACTTGTGCTCCCAGTGCCATGCTTTTTAGTGATTCCCCAGCATGTTGTCCTACCTAAAGAAACCTCAACAAGCTGTTAGGGCACAAGACAACCGTGCAGATTGTGACCATCTCCATTCTATATTCCTCTCCACACCATCATCTTTGGCCATTCAACTCTCGTCGCTGATATTTAGACCGTGAAGGTCTGGTGGTAGGAGTCGCCTTGCTGTGTGGTGTTTGCACAGCTCCAAGCACCGCAGGTGCCTAATGCAAAATCACCAGTATTATCATTACTGCTACTTACTACTTCTGCTCATATTGATTAATAACAACTGCATTTTCCCAACAGCCCTTTAAAAATTAAGGTAATTTGGAAAAAAGCTATTCATACAGAAATCAGGGCATTTGCACAGCAAGGCAGACTGCAATAGATATTCCAGACAATTTCCCTGTGTAAATAAGTCCTCCTTGGAGAAACCTGACAAAACCTCCTCCTTGTAGGTACATGAGGGGCAGTGGGGGTGGGACAGGGACTGGGGAAATGGGAGTCTCGAGCAGTTTGAGCACTTACGGGCAACTGTCACACAAAGAAAAATGGACATACTGTGCAACGCTGCTGGCAAAACTGGGTCTTAAGAAAATAATATAGCGGCTTTGGGAATTTGGGATTGTGTATCCAGGGTTTTTTGCAGTTCACATAGGAAAGCCCATTAGCGACCTGTGTATATGAATGCAATCTTTACTGCACAGGGACACATACATAAAAATATTGTCCTATATAAATAGCTGTTCTGAAAATAGACCTTTAGGAAATGTATTCTGAATATCTTGATCCTGAGACTAAAGCATTTATTCTCTAAGAAGAATTTCACCTGAAACCAATGATTAAACAGAGTGATCACAATGACACCGGTACTTTTGCAACCAGCACCCATTTGTTCACAGTCCATAGCTGAGACAGGTGCCTTAAATTCAGACTCATGAGGCTTGAGCTGAAGCCAGTTGTGTTTTTCTTTCTTAAGGGCTTCTTTCTTAACTTTTTTTTTTCCTTTTTCTTTTTAATTTTTAAATTTTCTTTTTCTTTTCTTCTTTTTCTATTTTCTCATTTTATTTTCCCTCTTTCTTTATATTTTTCTTTTTATTTTTATTTTTTCTCTCTTTTTCTCTTTCTTTCCCATTTTCTTTCTTTTCTGTTTTATTTTTTCTTTTCTCCTTTTCCTTTTTTCTTTTCCTTTTTCTATTTTCTTCTGCTTTTTCTCTCCTTTCTCCTTTTCTTTTTCCTCTTTTAATTTTTCTTTTTTCCTCTTTTTTTTTTTTTTTTTTTTTTTTTTTTCCCCCTTTTTATTTCTCTTTCCCATCTCTTCCTCTTTTTCTTCTTCCAGCAGGCAACCACCGAACCTCCGTTCCCAACACTGGCATGAAAGCACCACTCAGATCTCAACACCTGAACTTTCCACTGACTAAAATCAGATCAAAGAAAAAGAAGTTGTGAAACCCGGAGGCTGACAGCAGGGCCGGCCGTGCGCCTGCAGCCCGCGCCAGCAGCACCGGGCAGGGATTTCTTAGCCCCGCAGGAGAAGAAAATCCACCTGACAGCCCCGGGCATGAAAAGTATCTTTGTCCTTTAATTGGGGAGCCGGTCGCTCAGCCCAGCGAGCGCTAATCGCCCTCGGGACAGGTAATATTATAAAGTTTCCGGTGAAACTCCGAACTCGCTATTTTTGTTGCTAATTATTAACTGCTCATTAGAATAACGCCCTTAGTTGCAGCACCCAATCCAGCCAGGTCCTTGATATCGCGGGAGGGGAGCCGGGGGCCCGAGGCCTGGCACCCCCACACCCCCCCCCCAACACCCCGCGGAGCCCCGGCCCTGCCCGCGGGGGGATCCGCGGGGCGCGGAGCGTTCTTCGCGGAGCCCTTTGTTATGCTAATCCGGGCCTGACATCACGCCGCATATCAAAGCCGAGGGGGCCGCATATAAGGCGGCTCCGCGGGCCGCCCCGCCAGAGCAACCCCGGCCCTTCCGCGCCCGCGCAGAGGTAAGCGCGGGGAGCGGGAGCTGCAAGGGGTGGGGGACAGACAGAGCCCCGGCGAGAGTCCTCCCGAAACGCTAAAGGTGCGGGGGTGGCCAAGAGCAGGGGATTTTTTTTTTTGGGGGGGGGCTATAGGGAGGCTGCAAGAGAGCGGGGAGACACGGGGGGAGTGATGCAGGGAAAGAGGGGAGACCCCAGAGGGGGGGATGCAGGGACGGAAGAGGTTTGGTGGTTGCTGAAGAGAGGAGAGGGTGCGGGGGGACCTGAGAGCTGGTGGGGTGCAGGAGAGAGGGGAGACTCAAGGGCTGCAAGGGAGAAGGAGACCCAGAGGGTGTAGAGAGACCTGAGAGATGCGCTGCGGGGGAGACCCAAAAGGTGCAAGGGAGACTGGAGAGCCCGGGGGGGCTGAAGTGATAGGGGAGACCTGGGAGCTAAAATGGAGAGGAGGGAAGTGGGGAGGGGTATGGGGATACCTAAGATTTGGGGGCTGCAAGGGAGAGGGGAGACTCGGGGCTGCAAGAGAGAGGGGAGATGCAGGGGGCTGCAATGGAGAGAGGAGCCCGGGAGGCTGCAGGGTAACAGGGACACCCAGGGGTTGCAGTGGAGAAGGGAGATGCAGAGGAGAGGAGGGACCGGAGAGGTGCAGGGGAGAGGGCAGTCTGCATGGAGAGGGGGAGAACTGGGGGGGTTCAAACAGCTCCCCCCCTCCCCATTCCCTGTTCCTGCTCCTCATCCTCACTGCAGGTCATTCGGGGATGCACTGCCTCTCAAGCGGGTGGCTGTGCTCCCGGAGAGAGCTGCAGGCTGGCAGTGGGGTCAGGTGGGTGGATGTCTTGCCTTCCTGGGTGGGAAAATTGGGAAAAATGTGAGATGGATGCTCAGACGTTTATATATCATTCGTATTGCCTATTCCTGTTCCCGGACTCTTGGAGGAGTTGGATGGGAGTGTTTTCTGCGTGCAAGAACAGGGCTGGCTCTGAACAGCCATGGGGTGAAGAGAAAAGGGAGCTTTGAGTTAAAAATGACTCTGGTTTTTAGGAGTCCTCAGGCCACTTGCTGCTGGTTTGATCAGTGACCCAGATCTCTCCAGAGCTGTAAATATCACGTCTGCCCCGAAGAGTCTCTCTCCTTCCCCTCCCCTTGCAAATTCCTCTTGCAAACGTAACCTGTGCTGGACTGAGTGGAAAAAAGCGTTATTACCTCCCCAAATAACAGGGGTGTGATTTCAGGCCAGGCTTGCAGCTCTTGAGGTGAGGATGGGGGGGGGGGGGGGGTGTTAGATCATTTCTCCTCCTCCCTGGAAGCAGGAGGGGAAAACTAAACTGTGACTTTTTCAAGGCAGGGGGCAAAACAGGGGATGATGTTGGCTGGTCAGGGTTAGCGAGAGGGTTTTAGACCATCTGAGACATTTTACACCCGACTCTTGTGTTGCTCAGCAGTTAACGGGAGGGAGATAAGGGGTCTGAAATATCTAAATGGACACTAAAAGGCATAGGCAGGATTAAGGGTTGAAGGTTTCCAGCGTACTTGTGGAGAGCGTGGGGGAAGCAAAGAGCTTCCAAAGATGAAAAGATACAGAAATACCTTGAAACAAGAAGTACGCCTGGATGCTCGTGGGGGCACTGCCTTCAAGGGACACATCAAACCCAAATCTGAGTGGGCATTAAAGAAAAACAACCCGTGGCGATGAAATTCTGCCTCCCTTGTAGTCAGTCGGAGTTCTGTCTCGGACTTCAAGGGAGCTGGGAACTCGCCCCTAGAGGTTATTAAAATCCTTTATAATAACAGCACTTCTCTAGTAACCCTTCACACCAGGGGCTGGGATAGCCAAAAAGCAGCCTGAATGGAAAAATATGCTGCAGATGGCAAAGAAAGCACCCAGAAATATTCCTTCCTGACCCAATTGCTTCCCAAATGGGGGTATCGAGGCAGAAAGCTGCAGCTGGAACAAATCCAGAGCTAGGGGTCAGGTGGGATGTGCTTTTCCCAGGGTAAGGGCTTCCCCGAAGTGATGCTGACTGTCCCAGCTGATCCCAGTCCCATCCTAAACCCCTTTGAGGGGGCAGGGTGGGGGGATGCATGCTCAGCCCAAGCTTGTGATGGGCTGCGAGACTCCAGAAACACGGAGCCCTTCACAGCCTTACAATGTGGTGGGCAGGTTTTTCTGTTTATTTTATTATTGGCTTTCTCGCGGGGTGGGAAACCACCGCAAAGACCACAAAGAGCAGCCCAGAGCAGTGTCTGAAGTGAATAACTGAAGGGAAACCCATTTACTGCTATTAATGCGACAGCTAAAATAAGCAAGCTGTGCCCTGGAGCCAGAGAGGACCCCTCTAAGAGTTTAAGTCCTGCACCTGGTTTGTTTATTTGTTTGGGCAGACAAAGGGAAAAACAACAACAGAAAGATGGGGGGGGAGATCCTTGAGAGCTTTTGTCTCCTCCTGGCTGCTCCCCAGAGACAGAAATGTGATTTTATGTTTACAAAGTTGCAGCCCTTTCCGTGAGCTCCAGGTGCCCAAGGACTTGGAAGAAGTGAGAGGCAGAGTTAATGAGGTGAGAAGGAAAGCAGAAGGGAAAGAGCAAAACACATTTGTTGTAACAGATCAGATTGAAACATCTGCAGGGCATGGGCACCTGCGTGAAGTCAGGAAATGCAGTTTTTATAATTTGCCTTCTCTACAGAAAAAGAGGGGAAAAAAAAAAATCTGGAGAAAAGAAAGGGAGAGGTGAATAGCTGAAGATTTGGGCTTGTCTAAAGATTTATCTTTTTTCTTTTTCTCCTTCTTCCTGAGCAGTTACACAAACCTTTTGGAAAGGGGAGGAAAAAAAAAAAAAGTGAAGCAGCAAATGAAGTCTTGCCATGTGCAGGGTTAAATGGAAACACACAATCAGACCATAATTCAGGGTGTAATTCAAGCCATACGGTTTGTCTGTCTGTTGACTCGAAAGGTTGTATCAAGGCTTGGTGAGGGAGGGGACTGAGAGGGGATAATCCAAACTTTTTCGTGATTCGTAAACCACTCCTTTGCAATTTGGATAATAGATCTCTCTCTCGTGACAACTTGCTAAACTTCAGAGTTAACCATAGCTTGTGCTCTTTCTCTCCTTTCAGGTTGTTCATCTTCAAGGAGGAGCAACACCCAAACTGAAGGGAAATACGTTGTGCAGAAAATTAGGAAAGCTCCTTTTTTTTTTTTTTTTTTTTTTTTTTTTTTTTTTTTTCCTTTGGAGAAGCTGATTTCCTTCGGCAAGTGGGGAACGGTGGAGAAAATGAAGCCGAGTCCTCGATTTTTCTTAGCTGGTTTTCTGTCTTTGATTCTGCAGACGGGGCTTTGCTATGGGATAAAATGGATGTAAGTACCTGGCTATCTCTCTGCATTTTTAAAGTCTTTGTAGGTATTTCTGGTCTCTTACCTGTTTTTGCAACTATTTGAGGCACACTGTGAAGCCGTTTAAAGAGCAGCAAGTGCTGCATTCTCCAGGCATTCATTGATTTCAAGTGTGTGTACTAGGGGCTTGTGCTAACAATATGTCTCCATCTTCTTTCCAAAATATGCATGATTTAGGCTCTCTTTTTCTTCTCTTCATTGATAAAGGAAAGGCACACACTTGAACGCTCACATGAGCCACTTAATGAAGTTTCTAGCGTTAGCTCCTGCCATGCTGGGAAATTCTCCCTCCGGGACTGCTGGTTATGCTGAGTAGGAGCTGAGAGCTGTAGGGACAGCAGCTAAGATAATGCCTCCAATCTCCAACTCACAGGGGATGCTTAACAGATAACATGTTTTTTTGGTGGACCTTTTAACCTTTGGATTTCATGAAGGGTGTTAAAAATGAGGTGGGGGGTGGGGGGAGGAGAGTGAAGAAATACCAGGGAGTGTGGTCAAGTCTGGATTGAGTTTCCTCGGAGGTAATGTAACTGCAAACAAAGTGAAAACATCACTATCTCATTTATTTGCTTAAGCAAGCGATCAATTAGTTGCTTGCTGCAAAATAAACAAACAAGCTTCTCCAACACCCATCTGGTTTCATGTCCTTCATGAGTGATCTCTTTTCTTGGTTTGAAGCTGTGCACAAAATAAATCAGGGGATGCAGGCTAGCCTCAAATGAGCATCTTCTGTAAAAGAAAAGGCACAATAAAATGCCATGCCAAGAAGAGTCTGCATAGGGTGTAGTGCACCCAGGTGAGGATCTTGGGGTTAGGTGGGGAAATTGAGACAAGATGTTCCTTTTTTGTTCCTCCTTCTGTGCTATATTTAATTCACATTCCACTGTCCCAAGCGTTGTCACTTGAGTCTCTCCCCCTGTCACCTTTCATAACGGCTCTCTTAAATTTGGATATCTTAGTTAGATGTCTTGTTGGAGCCAATGTTTTCACTGCCCTGCATGCAGTCATGGGAGAGAGGATTTTTCCAGAGGGGGATTCACCCTCTCCAAAGAAAGACATCTAACCCAAATATCAAGAGATGTCCTTGGAGAGGCCATGGACTTCACGGAACTGATTGAGACCACACATCTACTCTTTATATTCCTAAAGAGAAGCGGGATGAACCCCTCCATAGGGTGTTTAAATGCACATGGTCAGGCAGGAGGAACAGCCACCCATTTCAGGAGATCCATTTGACAACCCCATACTCTAAGAACCACCATGGAAATAGAGGAGAGTCAGGATCTGATTTGCTCTTCACCATCTTGGCTTTATACCTTGTAGCAGCCACCACAGCTAAATTACTTAGCCCAGCTATTTATTTCTACCAGCTTCCTCGAGTGTTTAGGCTCCCAGTTCTGCATATACCCAGCACCTTGTATGGGGTGAGCATCTCCTCCCTGCAGGGCATTTATGCCCATGGGCTGGAAGAGCCTGGACTCATTTCCCAATTTTATTTCTATGCGTCACAGAAATAAAGCTAATTTGTCACCCTGATTCAGAATGGCACTTACATACAGACTCATAGCTGAGTGGAGGGGCTCACTTATATGTTTGGCATTAGGGTCCTGCTTAAGCAAGGTGCTAAATCCTGAGTGAGGGGCCTCAGTTTCTCCAAAGGGCAGGGGTGAGATGAGCTTCAGAGGGAACCTGATAGTGCGGTGACAAGCTATAGACATGAAAAAAGTCTGGAAGGCAGGGCAAAATCCTGAATAGCTTTGTTGGCAAAAGCAGCCTTTTGGCTGGTAAGTGGTTAAGCTGCAAGAGTTGATTTTGGGGATGGGGTGGGGGGAAAAGCAGTTGGAGGAAAGATGCCACTCCTCCCCTTCCCAGCAGACATATCCCCCCTATCGAAAAGCGAGTAGGGAAGATGAAAGCTGGGATTAAAGTGGCATTTGAAGCATGAACTGCATCCAGATGTGCTGCCTGGGCTCCCCTCACACCTGTTTAAAACCTGGCAGAGACCTGCCCTCCCGGTCCCATGGTACTTCACAACTGGGATGCTGCCAGCTGGGATTTCACAAAATTTTGTGGGTTTTTTTTGTTGTTGTTGTTGCTGTTTTTTGTTTTGTTTTCATTTGCTGTTTCTCCTCCCTTCCCCACCCTTGTTTTTCTATGGAAACATGGGCCAATATTCCCACCTTCCCCATCACTCTTTTTTTCCCTGCTGCAGTGGTGCTGCCACCCTTGGGGCTAGGGGACCATCCTTGGAAGTCGCGGGGGGTAAACTCTTGGTGATCAGAGATCGATGTTACCAAATACTGAATAATGCCTCGGAGCTGAAATCCCAGCCCCAGGCTTACATGCTGGGTGCTGTAGAACCAAATCCTGCCCCTTCTGTCTCGTACTTGTGAACGGAGAGGAGAGGGGGGGAGAAAGACAGGACGAAGAGGGAGGAAAGTGCTACGAGACGTTTTTGGTTGTGGGCTTGTCTCGGCGGTCTGCCTGCTGCGCCGTTGTTGTAGGCACAGTGCCAGAGGCGAGCTTCAAAGAGGATTTGGGAGGGGAGGGGGAAGATAAGGAGGTGGGTTTTGCCAGCCTGGGGAAGAGGGAGAAACCGATGTGAAAGGTGATAGGAAATTCAATTTTGATTCTGCACATGATGTAATTGCAGGGGGAGGGGGAGAAGAAAAACATACTTTTCAGCCATTTAGGACTTCCCTGTAGCACAAATATCTCCTGTAAATTATTAAAAGCGGGGAGAAGGTACAAAGGAGCTGTTTGTTTTATTTTATTTGGCTGATTTTTATGAGTTCTGTGGTCCAGATCCCCAGCTGTTGTAAATCGGCACTGTGCCCTTCCCTGCCACAGAAACGTGTACTGCTGAGCATCCAGCGTGGTGTGTGGATGGTCAGCATCTCATAAAGCTGCTCTTGCTGCTGGAGAAACTTCATATTTTGGCCTCTTCCTTCTGAGCTCCAGGGAGTTGCTTGGGTGCAAAGTCAGGGTATAGACAGATCTTTGCAGGATCAGGGCTGTCGTGGAAAAGCAGCTTTCCATTCAATTCATCTGAGCCCCTGAGTCATATTTTTTCATGCTGTTTTTTGCAAATCCTTTCCCATCCTTTGAGCAGGGGCTTGTTACATCGCTCTATGGTTCTCAGAGCTTGTTTTGCATCACAGCAGCTGGGGAGGTGAGGCAGCTATCGCTTTCAATGGCAGATGTCCCAGGGCCAATGAATGTAGGAACTCTATCGCCTTACCCATCGCCTTTTGCACCCCTTTTAGCTTTCCTAGTTTGGTTTGGGTTTGACCAAGCAGGTTGCTGGAGCAACTTGTTTGAGTAGAACTGAAAAATAGATGAGCACTAGAGGGAGCTGTGGCCAGATGTGCTCACCACAGAGGTCTGCAGATGTTGGGATGTCCAGGCTTTCAAGGCACTTCTGCGTCCCCGGGGGTTGGCATCTCCTCTGCCCAGGTGCCAAGACACGGGATGAACTGTCCCTCTGAGTGTCACCTTGAATGTAAGAGCAGTTATAGAGAAGCCAAATACAGCAAGTATGTTTTTTTGTTTGTTTGTTTGGTTTTTTTTTTGCATGACTTGCATGATCAGCCCATGACAGCAAGTGGTGGCATTAGGGATCCCATCATTTTTAGGTGGAACATGGTCACTTTAGGAAGTCCCTGTTGTGGCGGCCTGGACATGCTCCATGCCCTCTGGAGCCATCCCTAGCTGAGTACCTTTCCCATCTAGGAGCTCAGCTTTGCTGCACCGTTCCCATGGTTAAATCACAGCCCGCCAGGAGCAAAAGGTGGCTTAGCCATGCATTTTGGTGAACCCAGGGTGTCCCCCAACTCACCAGCCTCGAGCGACACCGCAGCCTTTCTGCAGCCAGCAGAAAGCAGGGGAGAAAATGGAAAGATTTTGTGCTTCCCAGCACTGCCTGCCTCTCTCCTTCAGACAGGGGGTGGGGGGGGAGCTGGGACATCGGGGCACGGGCGCCTGCAAGGAGACCGTCTGCCTGGCAAGGGGGCTGCTAGATGAGCTGCCATGAAAGGACTGCAGGACGGGGATGGCGGGAGGGGAGCGGGTCGGGGGCGAGGAAGAGGGGGGGACAGCGGCTTTGAAGTTTGCTCTTCGCTCCGTAGGCAGCTCGGGAAAACTTGACAAAGCTCCATGGCCTTCCTCGGCACTTGGTGAGCCAACTCGCCGCTGGCATCGACTTCAGTCGAGTTTGGGCTGGAAGTCAATGGCCTCGTGCCCACTACTGCCAGCGCTGGATTTGGCACCGTATCTGAAAGCAGCTCTTATTTTAAGCTTTTACTTCACGGTTGTTTTTTTTCCCCCCACTCCTCTCCCTCTTCCTCCTCTTTATTTTGGGGTTTAGTTTTTGATTGTTTGTTTGTTCTTTTTTTTTTTTTTTTTTTACTATATGAAACCTGCTTCTTTCTTTGAAATGGCTTTGCAGAACCAGTGGAAGCATTTACCAGAGGATGTGATGGCTTTCCCAGCACTTGTGGTCCTCAGACCAGGACTGATGCAGGGAAGGGTGGCAGGGGCAGGGGTTTCCTCTGACTACCAGGAGCTTAGACAAGGTTATTGTAACAGTCTTGCAAGCTTTTTCCAGTTGAAAACCTGAGAAAATGAGGCTCCTACGGATTAAAAACCTTCAATGAGATTGAATGCAAGCCCCCCCCTCCCAATCTGTCTCTCTTTATTAAAGTTTACCGCACACTTCACTCTCCACAGCTGTGTAATTTTGTCTAAGTATTTTTGTTTCACCCAAATCCCTGCAAGATTAAGGGGTTTAAGAACAGGCATAAAAAACAGTGTGCCTTCACAGAAAGCAAGGTGGACAATTGGGAGCAGAAGTCTGTGGTTTCATCCAACAGTTCCTCTTCCTTGGGTCACATCACACAAGGGAGGTTGGGGACATGCCCTCCAGAGAGAACCCACATCAGAAAGACAGAGGATCCTTCCGCCTTTTAAGGGTGTTTTAAAGGGCATCAATGCTTCACAGCTCAATTCAAGGGTTTTTTCTCCCTTTGGCTTGATCAGGAGTAGTATCCTACTCACAGTGGCCCTTGTAAACCAAATAATGTATGGCTTTCACTGATATCTGCTCAGATCTGAAGGTACTTCTCCCAAGCTCCTGCTCCTATGAATAGTCTTCTCATGAAGCCCAGATCTGCAGGAGTGGGCCCATACCTCTCAAAGGACCTAACACTGTAGAGCATTCATGTTTTCAAATGAATTTATTAACTGCCTGAGATAATTAAAAGAGTAAACGAAAGTCATGATCCATCCATGCATCATATTTCCTCTGTAATTACGTTTATGGTTTTCTGTCAGTATCCATAACTTCAATTGAAAGCCCTGCTATGCTATATATAAAGCAGGACGTGTTTGGTTTGGGGCCTGTTTATTTAAAGGGATGGGTCAAATATGTATATTAAAAAAAAAAAAAAAAAAGAAACAACCACCCCTCAGTTGTCCTCAGCTTTCTGAAGAATGAAGAATGGGGCAGGAGAGTTAAGGGAGAAGAGCTCGACATTAGCAGGAGGAAACAGTGAAAAGCAGTATTTATAGGGTGGCATCAGGTAAAATCCCAAGGTGCTGCTTCTCAGATGAAGGATGTGAGTCTGAAGATAGATGTTTATCAGGGACTTTTTCCCAGATTGAGGACTAAAGGCTGTTCTGCTAACTGTGCCCTTGAGGGCTGCTTTATTCAGGCTGTCTGTGTCCCTTGGGCTCCAGTTTCCTTCCCAGTGATGGTGGTCAGGAGAGACTGGGTGGAGATGGGATAAAGACCCACCACCAAATCCCACCATGGACAAGATTATTCTGGGGGAAGGTGATTTCCTTTCCACTGCCCCATGAATGGATTTTGCTCCCCTACATCCTTTGCAGGTGGTGGGCATCCCTCCCTGACACTGCCAGAATTTGGGGAGAAGGGAGGGTTGGTGCCTTTCCACAGGGAGGATTTAAAGTGACAAGGGGTGGAGAAGATATTTCTGAATATAGGACAGAGACAGAGCAAACCTGAGCTGTCAGGGCACGGACTAGATGACCTAATAGGCCTCTCACATTCCTGATCTGTGATTTATAAATGCACTTTTTGGTCTCAGCAAGCGACTCCAGTAACTGTGAGTTTTCTTTTCCATCTCCATTACCCTTTACTTTTTCCTCCCGACGCTTGGAGATGTTTCCAATTATAGGTTCTCACAGGCAAAGGCATGAAGTTCAGGCCTGGGAGATGTTCAGAAAACACCTTCCTGAGTCTTGCATTTTTATTCTTGGCGGGCTCCCTGGAGCTCAGCTCATTTGAGGAGAAACAGCCATTGCTGCCATTTACTGAGTTCTCCCCAATGGGGCCACGGTCCTTCCTCTCTTGACTGTGGCAGACGTTTTTCCCTCTGCCACAAAGTGGGTTTCTTTCTTATTGTATTCTAAATCTGCTTCTGTAATGGTGATCATTTCAGGCCATCTGTAATTAACATGTTCTCATTGTATTACATCCCCCTTTTTTCAGAATGGGGATGAGTTTCAATCTAAATTCAGCTCTCATCCCAACTTTTAGGTGGTTATTTCTGCTGTTCCTGACTTGTCTGTAATGGTGAGATGCAGGTGCCTCAGTGTAAGCTACCAGGTCCTTTAAAGATGCTGAAGACCTCTATACACGATTAAAAACTGTGGTGCAGGACCTAGGAGATACATGCATCCTTCTGGAGGGCCAGGTGGAGCATCCCAAGGTCTCTGAAGTGTCACTTGACACCTCTGATTAGAAAACTGAGCTGGTGCCCCATAGTACAGAGTCTATCAGAGACTTGGGGCGTTCCTCATTTGCCTGAAGCTCAGGCTTTGAAGCTCTCTCATTTCATCTGCCTCACCCTGCCTGCTTATTTTGCTTCTGGGACATATTGTGCTGGAGTATTTATCATTTTTACTCTATCAGTGATAAGCTGCTTTGGCCTCTGGCCTGATTTGTATTTCAGCCCATTCCTGAGAGTTGCTGATAGGCTTTTTGGGATAAGTTTTCACAGGGTTCTAGTGTCAAGTGCTAGGTGTTGGACACATCTCACCCAGCTCTGTGCTTATACAGTCCTGATGTCTGCATCCGAGCTTGGGGCCTGGGTTCCCCCCTATAGGCAGTGCAGAAAATGAGCGCTTCTAAGGCATGATGTTATTCTACTGTAGATCTCAAAATCACATTGGGCTAACTACTCCCTAGATGTGGCTTTTTCTTTCTGTGGGATGAGGAAGGACCCTGAAGGACTACAATGAGGTCCACACTGTAGAGGTTTGCAGTCAGGTGGCATTCATACCGCCCAAAGACTCATGCCTCTACCTTCAGGGACGTGATATATCTGAGATATCTGAGCACCCAGAATATCACCAACAGATTTTGTCTTCACCAACTCGGGTCCAGCACTGATTCATGTCTAAGGCAGGATGAGTTGCCTTCTGGAGGTGCCCCTCTCCAGACAGGGAATGTTGGATGAGCAACAGTGTGCAAGGGACCGAGATGAACTACAGGGCATAATTTCTGACAATTAAATACTCCACTTTTCCCTTTCCCTTGAAATTCGCTGGCCAAAACTTCTGTTCACTGTATATTTAATGGACCTCTTTAAATATATGTATGATGTATATATTTACATAGCTAGCAGAGTGGTGGTTTCCCTTCCAAGTTTGCCACTGATTATCTAGTGCCAGAAATGCCAAACTCCAGCCGCCTGGGAACTTTTCAGTGCAGACATACTCAGCCCTAGCAAGATTCGTAGCTCTCCACTGCTGGAAAAGCGGTTGGGGTTAGCAGTTAAGCACAGCCCAGAGAGAGCTCCAACATACACAGCAGCTGGTTCAAGCCAACCCTGAGGAAGCTGGTGGAACATAGATGTGTTTTCCTGAAAACCGGAGATCAGAGTTAATACCCTCAATCTTGGTTAGGGCTCAATTTTAGCTCCGTTTCCATCTCATTTAACTTCTGAAGGACGTGGATGTTACAGTAATAAAGTGAAATGCACCCAGAAATGTGTCTGCTAATAAGCCAAACTAACCAAGATGGCTTAGGATGAAACTGAAAGGCAACACATTTAACAAGGAGAGAAGGAAATATGTGTTAAGGCAGTTGTGTTGCCAGGATCAGATGCCAGTTACTGATGCAGCCAGCTAGAAAGTTGTTTTATGGGAATGAATAACATTTATGACTACCCTAAGCAGGTCATAAAGATACAAAGAGAGTTACACACCAGGTGTCTGCTGATTGCTGTGGGTGCTTGGGGAAGAAGAGCACAGCCCTTACGGTGCATGGCAGCATTTGCTTTTTTTACCTGGAAACGTTGGTAATTGCACACTAGAAGAACCAATGGGATCTTTGGGATGTTGTTGGTTTCTTCCACAGTAATGTATGTGCTGGTGCTAGGGGATCCCTTCTCAGTTTTGACCATGGTACTCTCTGCACATATTCTCATTGTGCTTCTGTACTACATTTTTAGAGACTAGAGAAACAGACTTGTCTACCTGCAACAGTGATGGAATTGGTGGAGGCCCTTGGTGTTAACTCTAAGGGAAAGCATCTGTTTTGCAAACTTGGTGGCATTTCCCTAGGCCTTGCAGGGGATTTTCTCCATAATTACATGACATTTAGCATAATCCTTAGAGAGTGTGTGAGACAGATGCTGAATGCAAAACACTGATAACACCAACTTCACTTTTTTTTTTTTTTTTTTTTTTTTTCTGAATACCTCAGTCTTGGAAGATCCAGCTTTCTGTTATCATGGAACTGATGGGTCATTTTTCACTCTATTGGAAGGTCCACCCCCTTCATTCTTCAGCAAAAAACCTTCCCATAAGGATTTATACATTCAGTCAACTTGGCATATGTCCCAGGAGCTTTGTCCAGGCTCCTCAATATGATGGAGAGAAAAGCATACTCATAGAGGGGGTTTCTTCCCACCTGACTTAAACGCCTACTTTAGATGCGATAAATCACTATTCGTAGTTGCTCATCTTTCTCATCAGCTTAAATTAAGCACCTATTTACAGGTAGACAAAATTAAGTCAGATGAACACAGGTCAAAGCATTCACTGGACTGGAAGTAGTGGAGAAATGAACACTGACCTGAAGATTAATTAATTAATTAACTTTTTTTTTTTTTTTTTTTTTTTTTTTGTGGGTTTTAATGCCTTTTTGCATGTACTTGTCTCCTCAGAGCTCTATCTAAGACTCCTTCGGCTTTGGCCCTGAACCAAACCCAGCATTGCAAGCAGCTCGAAGGCTTGGTGGTTTCCCAGGTACAGCTGTGCCGCAGCAACCTGGAGCTAATGCAGACCATCATCCAGGCAGCACGGGAAGTGATAAAGACCTGCCGTAAAACTTTCTCAGACATGCGATGGAACTGCTCTTCCATTGAGCTGGCTCCTAACTACCTGCTGGACTTAGAGAGAGGTAAACAGCACTGCTGGCTCAGCCGGGGACATGAGTGAGTAGAGTCAGCCAGTGTGTGTGTATGCGTGCTGGGGTTGGGAAGGATCTTGCAGCCAAGGGGGATGTGGAGGGACTGCACAGCCTAGTTGTCCTATTCTCTGAGACCATGCTCGTCGTTATTGTGCTGGTCATGCCTAGGAGCTCTTGAGTCCAAGACCTAGTCTCCCACAGCTCCTACAAAGCATGCCACCCATCTGGTCTGCTCATCTCATTAGGAGTCATGGTGCACTTGCTCCCAGCCATGGAGCTGCTTGCTGGTCAGGGCATGCAGACATGTCAAGCAGCACATGCTATGCGTGAGGCTGCACAGTCAGTTTTCATGGGTCAGAGCACCCTTGCATGCTCGTGTTGCAGCTCTAGGGCCTCCCACCACCTCCCTCAGCTCTGTACATGCCAGCTCTATGACCTGCTGGCAAGCAGTATCCAGCACAGAGACAAAATCCATGGAGGGGTTTCTTCATGTGCTCCAAGAGCAGATCACACCACAATGGACAAGTTGCATAAGTCCATGTGCTTCTTTGTCCTGCTGAGATGTTGTTTCATGTTGAAGAGCTCACTTAGGAGATATGATCCAAGTGGGTGATTCCATAGGAGGTCTCAGCTGCAGTCAGTTGGGATGTTTTCTGCTCTGTGGGGCACAGATTGTGTGAGTCTCTTTTTAGGGAACATTTAGCTGTCCCAGGAGGCTGAGCTGGAGTTCTTGTCTCTTCCAGGCACAAGGGAGTCAGCATTTGTGTATGCCCTTTCTGCCGCTGCCATCAGCCACACCATTGCCAGAGCCTGCACCACCGGGGACCTCCCTGGCTGTTCCTGTGGTCCCATCCCAGGTGAGACACCTGGACCTGGGTATCGATGGGGAGGATGTGCAGACAACCTCAACTATGGTCTTATCATGGGGTCCAAATTTTCAGATGCTCCCATGAAGATGAAAAAATCAGGATCACAAGCCAATAAACTGATGCATCTGCACAACAGTGAAGTAGGGAGACAGGTAACAAATCCACGAGAGTTATTGTAATTGTACAATCATCCGTAGTGGTCGGTCGCTCTGTGAGGTTCAGTGTCTCTGTCAGCTAGCGAAAGGAGCAGGTTTCTCCCAGATTGCTCTGAACTCCTTTGGCCTGCTGAAGACTGTGGCTATGTAACTCACGCTGGGACTCAGGAGGTCCTGAATGCTATTATCAGCCCTATATAACTGTGGGTGGGATGTCTCATTTCCACCCTCTTCACAGCCAAGGATGGCTCTGGCTTGCTTACCCCCAGAGGTGTGGTGGGGATGGGTCCTGTCGTGCTCTGCCAAGGGCGTTGCACAGGAGAAGTGTTGTGCAAGCGTGGAGGATTATCGTCTGCCAGACACATCCAGCAGCAGCTGCCTCCCAGCCATCCCTGCAGCCAGGAGGGCTGATTTTTGCTTTTCAAACTGCTTTGCTAGTGATTATTCCCATATCTGGCAGAAGGCGCTTTTAACAGCTTGCATCCAGTGGAAGGATAATGTTTACCATGTGCAGTGCTTGGTGTGCACCGAGGTGCAAATCCCTATCGCAGCCCTCCATGCAGCTGGAGGAATGGGTGGAGGGCTGTAAAGCTGAGCCCTGAACCCATCTCTGGGGCTGCAGCAGTTCCCTAGGCTGGTCCTACCACTCAGCTTGGTCCTTCCAGGGCTGCCCGTGCTCAGGCACTGGAGCAGATAAAACTTGGAGCATGTTGAGCTCATTGGCACCTTACTGCATAGCTACAGGTTGAATTCACCTTTGCAGAGCACAACCATGCTGAACTTGCCTCCCCTGGATGCTTTTCTCTACTGTTACCACTCTATCTCCTATTTGCTTTGTATTGTTTTGGTTTGGTTTTTTAATTTTTAATTTATTTTTGTAATGTCTCAAGGTTCTGTTTTAATTGCAATGGGAAAATTTTTGTTTTGGGACATAGTGTTGCCATGGCTGGTGCATTCACCCATTCCTGGCAGCATCCTGACATGTCCCACAGAAATGAGACTAGTGCAGATCCAAAGTAAAAGGCTGTTTTGGGCACATGGCCAGCAGAAAAGCAGGGTGAGGGTGCCCTGAATTCATCAGAGCCTTGACATCTCTGTAACCCAAAGCTGCAGGAGGCAGAAATGGATGTTAATTATCTATTTATGTATTGCTTTGATTTTCAGCTCCTCGGGAATTTAGAGGGTGGAAATACAGCCCTATGTAGATATCTGATCAAAATTCAAAATTCTCTGCTGGCTGCAATAGTGCCTTGGTGAAAATAGTCCTGGCCTGATAGTGATCACTGAGGAGCTGTGGGATCTCATTCCCTTTGCACAGTAGCTACTCTAGCGTGACTGTGCAGAAATCAGAGCAGCAGCCCTTTTCTATAGCAGTCCCTGCTAAAGTGCCTTCTTTAGCAAGCTTGTGGGATGATTGGAGGTAAGAGAAGGGCATTTCCTAACTCCTGCATTCCTTTTTGCAGGTCTTGAAAGCCTCTCTTGAAATGAAATGTAAGTGCCATGGAGTTTCTGGGTCATGCTCTATCAAGACCTGTTGGAAAGGCCTTCAAGAGCTGCGAGACATTGCACTGGACCTCAAAAACAAGTATTTATCAGCCACCAAGGTCGTTCACCGGCCCATGGGCACACGCAAATACCTCGTGCCAAAGGATATTGATATCAGGCCGGTTAAAGAGACAGAGCTGATTTACCTGCAGAGCTCGCCTGATTTCTGCATGAAGAATGAAAAAGTGGGGTCGCATGGGACCCAGGACAGGTGAGGGTTTCTGCAGCGGGTGCTGACTGCACTCTGAGACCCAAAGAGGGAATGGGAAGAGGGGAACATGTATGAATGAGAAGCAAATAACTGGGGAGGTAGCACATACGTGCAGGTAAAGGACATCTCTAACATGTGGCACATTCTACAGATGCCTGAGACAATTAGTGGTGGCTGTGGCCAAGACAGGGCTGCAGACACCTTTTGCATTATGAAGGCAGGCACCAGATACCTCTTGAAATCCACCAGGCAGCTCACCTCCAAGGGGACTTGTAATGATCAAGCAGCTGGTTTTTACTGTGTTGAGTCTCCCTAAGTCATTTCTTGCAGTCACTGCTGATGTGATGGGTTGTTACTCTACTGTAAGGCTCCTCTGAACAGGCAAGTGTTAACTCAATTAGGACCAGTGCTCCTAGGCAGTCTTAAAACAGCCATGAGTACTCCAAAGATGAATTTGTATGATTTTTCTTCCACTGAATTTTAAAAATCTAGGTGTGTTTGTATTGCTCATCCTCTACAGAGGAAATTCTTAATCTCATTGTTATTAGTGATTTAAGGTCATCGTACCCAACCTCCACTGGGCACAGCGCTGTCCCCTTTCACAGGCAGCAGACATGCCTGTCTCTTCCCATCAATTGTTTAATTCCCTCCAAGACAAGCCATGTTTCAGCAGCCTGAGCATCTCTAGGGGGGAAGAAGACCCTTCGGCAGCCAAATAACTGTATTTCCAGAATTGTGCAGAATTTCAAGATTTTTTTTTTTGTTAGGTGGCTGCAATGGCTGGATTTCAAGCTGTCTCATTAGTTGTTGTCTGCTGACTTGGCTTCCTTTAGATAGTTCTCATAATTCTTCTTTACTCTTTTTTTACTTTGTGGTGGAGACTCAGACAGTCAAGTTGCAAGGAACATGCGCCTGCCCTTTTGTGGGGTGTCTTCATTTTAACTCTTGTTACCCATAGTGGTACTTGGACCACTTTGGTTCAATGGAGAGGTTTTGCTGTAATGGAAATGAAGTAATGGAAATGACCCAAAACCAGAAAAGATACTCTTTGGGTACCTTTAATTCATATGAAATATTTGGTGAGAGGACTTTAGAAGCTATCCTTTAGCAATGGACATTTAACCTGGAACTGCAACTCTGTAGACAATATATAAAAACATATTTAAGTGATGGAGCTGATCAGGAGATGACGAAAGTTGAGTGAGACAAGTGTGTCCTTTTTGTCTTCTGATGTTTTGTGGCAGCTACAGTTTTGTATCCTCCAAAACCAATAGCTGGGCTGTTCTACACCAACACTTATCTGGCAGCTTTGTGGTGGGAACACCAGGATGACATTCATCACTAGCCCAGATGTGGAGCAGTAATTAGCAAGTGAAGATGTTTATGAGTCACTGAGGACTGTAGGGAAAAATCATGTATTGAAACTAGTTTCTGAGGGAAAATATCATTTAAGTGGAAGAGATATTTTTGTGGATTTGTATGGATTTTGACAAATGTGTGTCTTGAAAAAGACCTCTTTGTTGTGCCACTCTGGTTTGCACTGAAAAAAAATCGTGGAGGTTATTTGGAAATTAGTTTTATAGGAATTTCATGAAATCAACAGGTTATGTCAAAAACAAACTCAATCCATTACAGATTTGCCAAGTAAAACATTTTCCATGAGCTGAAAACCTTTCAAGGGGGAGAGAGGCATGACTTCTTCTTCATCTAATTTCATTTTACAGCAGATTCTGCCTTTTTATCCCAGCTAAGGATGAAAAATATGTCAAGGTCTTGAATGATTTCTTTTATTTTTTTCTTTCAAGGATAGGAAAATGTGTAATGCAGGCGTCCGTTTATCCCGAGCTGGGCGACAGCAGTGATTGTGAGCCTGCCAGGCAAGGGTCCAGGGGAAGTGAGATTGAGTGAGGATTTAGAGGACCGAGATATTAAGGCAGGAGGGGATGACTTTCAAAAGGAACCTGTCAAGAAATACTCCTTATTCTTGGATGTGCAGGATGGTGATGGCTGTGGGAGGGGAAGAGGGTGAGATAGGCCTGTGCTGAGCTGCAGGCACCTCTCAGGCCAAGTTTTAAGTTCATGAGTAGTTACACTCATTTTCAACGCAAACCATCTGCCAGCTCTTGAGAAGATTCCTAGTGTCTCAAAATTGGCATATGTAACACAAGCCACATCAGCCCATTTTCTGCATTTAACTAGCAGAGGAAATAAGTGTAAAAGGTACACAATATGTTTGTGGATGAGTCCTTTCTTCTTGGGGGGAGCAGGGAAAAGCAAGGGAGCTTCCCTAACCTCCTCCTCCCATGGATGCCTTTTTTCCTTAATTTTCCTCTCGTGTACAAGACATCTAAATGTATTTTAAAGACAATGGCTCTGTTCCAGCTGGCCACGGGACTGCAGAGATAGTGCCTAATGAGAAAGATGAGGGAGAAGGAACACAAAAAGGATGCTGGGAAAAAGGGCAGCGAAAAATACGGTTCACGCTTATTCTGCAGAGATGTAAAAATGCTTGTGTGGAAATAGCTCAGACAGGTTTTTATTTTATAAGTGAAGTCCTGGAGGCATCCTAACATTTCATCCTTGTGCAGGTCACAATTTTCTGGAGGAGATTCCGCTGTTTCCTATTAGGCTAATTTTCAAGTTCTGTTATGGCAAATGCAATCAAAAAGGGATTTTTAGTAGTGGTCCCTCAGTTCATTTTCTCTCTTCTCTTCTTCCACCACCCGCCTATTCCCTCTGTGGCCTTTTTCTGGTCATGAACATGGGTGCAGGGATCAGCCTGTGGGATGCCACAGTGCAGACCCCTTTCACCACACACCAGAAGACCTTGATCTGGGCAGCAACAGCAGCTTTCCACCCCCACTTTCTGCTTCCAAAGGGCTGCAGAAGGGAGGGGATCCCATTAACAACCCCTTTTCCTGTTACTGAATTAAAAAATTCAGATTGCTGCATTTTCATTACAAAACATGAGTGGTTTTGCATCATATGGAGAAAAAGTCCTTTCTCCCCTCCCTCTCCCCCAGGTCTGGTGCTTGCTCAGAGCACGCTGGAAACAGGACAGAGGTTGATGGCTAAGTTGCAACACCTTGGACATATTGGGTTTCAGTGTATGCTGTAGGGAACAATCCTGCACTGGCAGGTGGGTGGAAGGGATAATCTAATCAGTGGCTTCCATCTCTCTAATTATCCCTCACATTATGCGGACTTATTGTGTGCTTTTCAGGCAGGAAAGGGAATTGAATTACCTTGTAGTGGAACCACATGAAAATCCACTCAGAAAATGTGCACCAAGTTACTCAAAAACCTTTCAGAGCTCTTTGCTGAAAGGATTTCAAAGCCTTCTTTGGGACAAGCCTCAAACGTTTTCTAAGGCACCTCGGTCTTTCCTAGTTTGTTGAAATTAGAAATGGTTTAGAAACGGTTTGGAAATCTGCATGCCTCCAAGTGCTTGGGGTGTATCCAGATTTCAGACTCAGGGAGCTGAACCCGAACCTGGGATTTGAAGCCTCTTTGAAGTGCTCAAAATCTGATTAAGGAGCTGAGTTTTTCAACCAGTGTCCAAGGCTCCTGTGAACAGGCTTGCTGCAACTGCAGCCCTCAGCGACTCCAGCCAACCTCCATGTGCTTATATGCCACCATCACACTTTTATAGCCAGTAAAAAACGGTTTGGAGAAAAATCTAAAGGAGGTGATCTGTGGAGCAGCAAGTACCACTTTCAATACAAGAAATTAAACACTGGTAAAAAATGTATGTGTTATTGTTTCAGAGATTTCTTGGACAAAAGCACACTATAGCTCATCTTTCAACATGGTAATTCAGTTGCCTGAAAAATTCATTATCAGCTTTGAGTAAATGATAAATACTAGCAGATTATAAAAGTGAGATCTCTGTTGTGAGAAAAGAAGCAAAAGTATTACCCTTCTTTATCAGCTGGGTGCAATGTATCATATTTCAAAGGCTGTTTAAGGTCCCTTAAGGAATCCAAGGAAAGGGAAATTCTGCCATGCATGCAAAAGCCTCCAGCCCCTGAAGCCTTGAGGAGATAACTGAGCTGTTTATTAGTGATCTTTCCCAGAGCAGCCTGGGAGCCAAGCGAACGCGGCTCCCTGCGGAAGGTGGGAAGGAGCTCTCTTATGATGCAGAAATCAGGTTGCAATGTCGCACGGCAGCGAAGATGGGTTCATCAGCCACCACTCCTTAGCTGACTCACGTTGGCAAGGAACGTGGCCATTCTTTGGTGGCTTCTCCTTGCTCACGTATTCATCCTTTTCTGCAATATAAAATACTAATCTTAAGTGTCTCCCAAGGTGTCTTAGGCTGGTGTCTTTTCTTGGATAGGAACTTCCATGACATTAGCTGAGCATGCATCTGCTGCTCAGTGGTGGCTGCAAAGACTTAGAGGCTGGTGGTTACGTCTCTGGCATCTTGGTGGTCCCAAGAGCAGGGCTGGACAAAAGTTGCAAAGAAAGGATGCAGTGGTGTTCAGTGTTCAGTGGCAACCCTTGGTACCACTCATTTCCTGCCACCCCAAAAATATGCTTTACATTGCATGATAATGTGGGCAATGAAATTTCTTAGCAGAAGCACTCACATTTAGGTAGGGAAGAGTGGTAGTTCAGGGTAGACAACAGCATTTGGTGTTTGCTTTTTGTTACAGCCTCTCTTAGTTTCTGTCACTCAGTGAGCGCACAAGAAGCAGTATGCTGAACTTTGGCTTTGAGTAGGTTATAGTATTTATCATGATTTAGTAATTTTTGGAGCTGTCATCAGGTGTGCCACGCTTTTTTCATGGGATCCAACAAAGGATGAATAACAAATAGCAAACTATTCTTCTGTTAGTGTCACAGAGGTTTAAACTGGAGGAAAGTCATAAAAACTGTACCTTTCTGTTCCTCGCACCTATTTCTACTTTCCCAGGACAATGTGCTTGTAGTCGGTACCCATTTTGGTAGTTGGGCCAGCTATGCTTTTTTGGTCTTTTTCTCAGTTAATCCCTGGG